TGTCGAAATTTTGCGCCTCCCAAAAGCAGAAAATCATTTTCACTAGAATCCTTCCTGACTGACAAGATTACTTACTAGTATGCCTCTGTTCCAAAACGTTTTGCTCGCGCTTTTATAGTGTTCGAACAATGGCTGAAAGGAGATTCTGATAACAGATCAAAGTCATGACAGATCAAGTTGTTTTGAACGTTTAACACACTAGCCCGAATAGGGTATGCTGGGTGTCTCATAATAGACGCAACATTTGATTGGGTAAGTAAACGTAGTTGGAAAAAAGATAACAAGTTGAAGATAATAAGTTGAAAAGATAACAAAATATTTTATCATCAGTAGCCACATAAAGGAGGTTTTGTATTCAAGTGTTAACATTTTTCTTTTTACGATGAATGTCAGTACGCGCATTGAAATTGAGAAATTCTACTATCCCCTGGTGAAAGTGCCACCGCCGCACTTCGTGGTTACAAAACCAAACATGGTCTCATCAAAGATCCTTTCACCGTGTCGACCATTACACATTTGATTGCGAAATTTGAGTTCACTGGATCTGTATTGGATTTTAAAGGCAACGGGAGAAAGTCTCTCTCTCAGAGCGCCCATCGTACAGAATGCCGTCGAGCAACTTCAATCCCAGAGCACCATGGCATCTTCGTCAATAACTCAGGCGTCTCAGTTGACCGGCAATCCCCGCACCAGCGTGCGTCGTATTATGAGACGCACAAGAAGTCATCGACCGTCCTTCAACAAGATGACGCTCCATCCCACTACTCAAACCAAGTGAGAACTCAACTCCGAGAGCAATTTTCTGATGAGAGTCATTGCTCGTGGATTTTCCAGACTTTTGGCCCACAAGGTCACCCGATCTCACACCTCTGGATTATTGGTTTTAGGGAATGATCAAGGCTCACGCATATTATAAAAATAAACCGAAGAATTTGGTGGAGTTAAGAGCAAGAATTGAAGAGCAGTGTGCACGAGTAACGCTTGAAGAAGTTGAGCAAGCTGTGTTTCACATCACATACCGCCTCCAACTTGTTATAGAAGAAAGGGGCGGTTTTTTCAACATCTTCTGTAATACCAGTTTGTTTACAGTAAACCTCCGTAATGCACATATGTCCACATGAAAAATAAATGTTTAAAATAATGTTAAAGTTTTAACATGGGTATTATTTTTGCGTCTATTATGAGATATCCTGTACTTTCCATTTTAGCTTCTCGCCGACGAATAGCTCGTGGGTGACAAGCCGAGTCAGGAAATGGTCCCACCAAACAGGGACTGAGTACCTTTCTATCCCAGTGACATAGCTGTTGTTCAACTAGATGGATTTCCTACTCTAAATTGCTTTTTCAGAGAGCAATAAACTTTCAAACTATTGTCGTTTCTTTCCAAAGAATACAGACTCATTCTCCTCTCATTGCTTCGCAACGGTAAAGTGTGAGACGTTTCTACTTTTGACAATATTGCTTCCATTTACGACAAGTACTATTCCTGAAAATCACCAAAAATGGCGATGACTATAAACTCCAACGCCGAGTAGAAACAAGCAAAAACAAGCTATTCTTTAAACTACTGTACGTGTCGCATTCGTAATGTTCAAAATTACCAAGTCCAACTTGAAAACTGATTGTTGATCTATAGTGGTAATGCACTACTCATAAGGTTGCTGAAAACCACTCGACAGCCCACGACCGGTTTCGCCCTTCTTGGGGCTCATCAGGTAGGCGCAGTCCCAGAGTTTCCGTCAACCTTATGTTCTCCTCGAAAATAAATTGCACGAAATTACTGAAACACTTTCATTTGCAAACTGATTTTGTTTTTCGAGAGACTCACCTGGAACCCAGCTAAATCTCCCGTTTGTGATGTCTTTTGTGGTGATTTTTTATCTATTCTGTCACGCATCAAAAGGTTCATGGTCTTACTGAGAAGATGACATCGTCATCAGTCGAGCTCACTGAACATTGAGAATGATTGATAAATCTTACATCTTATCGAGGCTTTGCAAAGAATTTATTTCTGGACGCTTCATCAGATTGAAGCTTGTTTACGATACGGCAATTCTGGATGGCAAAAAATCGACCGGATTGATTCTGTGCTATTAAACTCTAGCCAAACTTAATTGTTTTACGTGTACCATACATCCTGTTTGAATTCGATTTGTCTTATATTACACTAATATTTATGAGTAGAGAATGCTCTCAAACCAGGATCCGTTTTTACCGTCAAACTCGCTCGTATCAATGGCATCAAATGCCGTCTGGGAGACGGCAGTTTTGACCGAAACCGCGAAATCACTGCTGGTGTTTCTCAGAAAGAGCTGTCTGCTATGAGAAACATTTTTGAAAAAAGTGAATCCGTAAACCTCTACCTCCTAGTATGGTTATGAAAAATGGGGTTAGGTTGTAAACACCGTCAAGTACTGGTATAATGGTGATACTACTGATGGTGGAGGCATGCGAGTAGTATGTTTCTTCTTCAAAATTTGCTTTGCGTCTCTTGAAAAGGGAGATCTATTGCGGAATTTTTGGAGTCACTTTGTGGTCTTTGCTTGTATTTGAGCAACAGTCAATGAATATCCAGAAAAGTTTAGGAAGACGCGTTCAAGAGAAGATGGGTGTTCAGTTTTGTAAACAAGATGCAAATGAGAGTTTTGCTTCCCTGTCCAATAGTCTGTAACTGGTCAGTCGGCATTTTCTAGTAAATAACTACGGAGCGAAGGCCTTCCTCCTTTCACTGGTAGATAATACTGATATACTACTGTGGACTCATATGATAACAGTGAGGATGCTGATACTGGAAGGTTGGGGGAAACGCACTTTAGAACAGTAAAGGTAAAACAAAGAGATCATTTTAGCGCAGAACACTTTTTCACACCCCATTTCTGGATAAAAAAACATTCGAAATTGAGGAATTATGCTAGGTAGTCTGGCCGCCCCCTGACCGGTATTAAAAAGTCCAGATTTAGAAAAAATAACTTCAGTACGCCGGTGGATAATTCTATGAAGTAACTCGACTATTCTTGGTCTGACCTGATCAGTCATTCAGTATGCCATAGTTTTATGAGTGTGACGTATGTAGTAAATAAAAAGGTGCATCAAAAAACAACGTTTTGTTCGTAGAAACAACCATGTCCTTCAAACTACTTACAGATGGAACACAACCATTCGTGCGCATTTTGACGTGCTCCGTTTTAGAACCAAAAACGAACAAAGAAGAAATATCATCATTTCATGCCCTGCCGGTTGCCATGATATTGTCAACGAAACGAAAAACCGTTTCGTCCTACTCACGTCTGTATCACATTTGCGAGTATCAGTATCCTCTGCAAACTTCAGAGTCTGTGGCAGGGAGTGTAGACTTTAGTCGGTAGGTCGGTTTGATGACTACTCGTACCCATATGGAGAGTAGATGAAGTAATCCTGATAGTTTTAGTGTTTTATCAGTACTCAGGTTTGTCCTGATGTCTTCTCATCAGCCCGAGCAGCCGAACATGCACCCACACTTGAATCGATAAACGATTTTTAAATTGGCTGACAGTGGTGAGCAGTCTTCAGCACGTTGGAGTCGAACTAGTTTGTTGTGTTAACGGAGACCAGTCAAGCTGAGTCGTAATTTCTTCACTTTTTAGCTATCAGCTGACTTGGGGTCCTGCTGACATTGTCCTCTTTGAACGGCATATTGCTGGAAATATCACGTTGTAGGATTGTTGGCGCACTACATCTGTCTCCGAACGCCCCGTTCATGACCCACTAAAGTCACGAGTACCGCTAAGATTACTGAATTTTTCTTGATCGTAGCCTGATTGGGAGTGAGAACTACCTTGACTCAGCTGCTGCACGTGATAGCTTGCACAGAAGACAATAAACTTTTGAACTTTTCCTCGGTCACCGCAATTCGCAAATGAAGACCAAGTGTGTATAAGCAGAAATAGTCTGTATTTCGTTGCTACCACACGTGACTCAATTTTTTTCTTTTTGCTTGTTTCTTGAATAAATCTGCTGTATGGTCTGATGAAATATAAAGAACTGAGCTGTTCTTTTCCTTTATCAGCTAATTTATGCATTTTTTTGTCCAAATATTTATTTATTTGATTGCTTATTTAGTCCTTTAAAAATTCATCATTTATATTTCAATCAACCTTAGATAATACTGCCTCAATTTGATAATAAATTTTCGAATAGTTAGCACAGTGTCCTGTTTTTAGGTCCCCTAATGACAGAAACGAATGATTATTCTGAAACCTATTCTTGTTGAAAATTCAAACAGTTGAACAGTTCAATCTAGTATAAGTTACCTTTTTTCCCGAGATTTTTTTTAAAAAAGACCGCGGCATCCGTAAATCTTCTACAGTCAACTCGTTTTGGCAAGTTTACACTACATTCTGACAAAATTTTCTGAAGGAAACACTGTGAATTTGTAAGTTTTTTGACAAACACTGACATGAAACTAGATATATTTGTCATATCGTGGGAGCCATACGTTATTATTGGATATGTGTTTAACTTTTTCGGGTGAGTGGTATCAATTCGCCTTGACATGGAGCTTCGGGCCCCACGTTTTGTCAGGCCAGGAATCAAACTCAAAACAGTGCTACAACCTGTGACAAAAGGCAGTTCAAAATTTCTGCCATCAACAAAATTCCCCGATGGCTTAAGATGCATGGTCTGGGTACATTTTAGGTGTGTTCGCCCACCTGAGAAAGTACTATTTTCATACCTTTACAACTTTATGCATAGGCAGTAACAGTGTGGAAGTAATACGCGAGTATATTACAAGAAACGTCAGGGAGTGGGTCAATAAGTTTTTCGCGGATACCTCAGAATTTTTCCCAGTTATATCCTTCATTGTTAAACGTGATCCTGCCTGTTATCCTCCAAACAAGAAAGCAGCAATACAATGAACTTTTTATCACGTTTTGTCAGTGACTAGATTAACGAAAAATGGATAAATTGCGTAAATTTGGTTGAAAAAACCCATTCCCCCATTTTATAAAACCTCGCTCACCTGGCAACACAATTTGCACAACGCAACCAGGATAGATATCCTCCTTTGTTTTGGCCGGTTTCAAAGTCCCACCCTCTCCCTCGTCGGTGGTAAAAAGTAGCAGATGGTGTTGCAGTCGGATTGGTTTATCGGAACGAATTCGCACCTGCAAAACGGACTAGCTCAGCTGAAATAAACCTGAGACCCACCAGTTTTTGGACAAGTTCAGCAGCCGCATCCAGGATATCGTCCAGCAGGAATTCCTTTTCCACATAAGCACATGCCTGATAGGCATCGAAACGTAGGAACAAACTAAATCCCATTTTCCACGTGGATGGTACGAAATGAACAGCTCTCACTCCGAAAAAGGTGACTTTCCATACGTCATTCTGTATACGTCAGTGATGGGCTGAAGGGGGAAACAAACGTTTGATGAAACCTTGTTTCTTTGTGCCTGGGGACGGTACATCCGAAAACTTTTCACAGTTACCTCAGATAGGAGAATGACATGGTAGAACAAAACAAATAACTCAGTTCTTTGCCTGCACAACCTCTTGTATAGGACGCCGCCATTCCATTCTCTTCTTACAAACTACACAATAGCAGTGGAGACCGAAACAATGGTTATAGTTATCTCACAAAAAGTAGACCATCGTTAATTTGAGGTTCCAATCGCTTGTAGTTTGTTTCTTGTAGTTGTAATAATGTTTTTTTGCTAACAATACATACTTTTACGTAAGTTTGTTTTGCGCGTTTAAACTCCGAATCCTTTAAAAATGTGAAACTGACTGAGTTTTGACGTGTACGACACCGTGGGGGTGAACACAACCTACTGTAGAAGAAACCGCAGATTAAAGTTTTAGACAAGAAACAGAGGTCTGAATATAGGTAGACAATCTGTGAGCATTGTTCATGCTGCTTGCTGCTGATTGGCTGTCGTTGTGTGATGTAAGCCCGACAGGTAATACCCAACACTCTGGTACGTTTTAGCTCACCATATATGGTTATCTCAAATTATACCACAATTTTGGGATAGTTGGGCTTAGGAACCCTGAGCTTATTCTCAAATCCATGCACGTCCCAAGGAAACCAGCAAAGAAGCCAACGTCACAAAGAGGTCCACTGTAGTTTACTAGATTATCCCAGCAGCCATATAACATGAAAAAGCATCAGGAATGCAGTATTCCCAGTGACAGTGCCAAAGTCATCAAACTTGTGAAACGTTTTGACTCAAAATTTTGAAAAGTGGTGTCTGTAGTAAAAATTCATAAGTGCGCTTGCAACGCAAGCACTGTGAACCTAAGTCGGGGCAACGGTGTACGATGACATAACGAAGCTACCCTATGGGAACCTAAATACCCACAAGTAACACATTTTTTAGCAAGAGAAAAGAGATAGGTAGCGCTCAGATGGTGTGACTTTACAAAAGCGTCGTGATAATATTGTTCGCCGGTCTCCAGGCCATCAGATACCACATGGGACAAATTTGGAGGGAGAGGACTACTGAGCAGAATCAGTCAGCGCTGCTTTCTTCTGGTTAGTTTCTGTTTAATCCTGTTCTCCAAGTGTCTTGCGAATCACCAATTCTACGATGATATATTTGAAAGCCACCTGCAACTGGGGCCAGTTTGGAGTTCTCTGTTGGTATACTGTATTACGCCGGAACAGGCCGGCTTTTATGGTCAACTTAGTTCACTTCAGTGTTCCAGCTCGCAAACCGTGCACCGAAACGCACTGGTCCCGGCTTCTACAACTTTGTACACCGTGGATACGAAAAATAGAAGAATGTGAGCTACACGATGGTCCCCTTATTCTATTGAATTCGAAAGCTACTGTTTGTCCTGGGATGTCAGTGATTGGGCTAATTCTTGCTTGTTTATTTAGGAGTTGCGATGCAATTTATTCCGTTGTTGTACAAAAACTGATAAAAAGAAAACTAATATCGAATACGGGTTCAAGAACTAAGCGTTTTTATTCTCTCAGTACAAGCACGGAGGCAATTTAACCTTATCA